ATTCGCTGAACCCCTTCCACCATCAGAGCAGAATTGGAGATGGCTTGAGTTTTCCCCCTTATTTGTTTGCTGTATTTCAGATGAAGTGGGGTTTAAAATTGAACAGGAATCAAAGCGAGTAAAGTGGAAATGATATTTTGCATTCCCAGGGAATTACTCAATATCTACATTTACACGTCTTATACATTTATATAGATAGTATTTATTTATTGCTCTTTGTTTTGTTTAGCTGAGGTTAAGTCAAAGGACTAGAAGTCAGGAGCTCTGGGTTTTATTTCTTGTCTCTTAGAAAATTGCTGGAGGTCACCTTTCGTTAGTCACTTAACCTCTCTCTGCTTTACTACAAAATGGAATTTTAAGCTCAGCAGGTTTTATAAACAGTAATTCATTAATTTAAAAAAAAAAAAATGCTTTGTGCTCCTTGGCTGGCAGGTGCTGGAGAAATAGAAATTACACTTCTGGTCTTTAAATACAGAAATTATCTAGTCCTAGGGTTCTCAAGTTGATTCTGCTCTCCTGTAATCTGTTAAAACATAAAAGGCAAGAAAAAAGGTATTTTAAAAAGCTCATGTTTTGTAACAGCTCTGTCTTTAACTTCTGGTAATGGCTATCTCTTGTCAACAGAGTGCAAATCAATTTCAAGGCTAAAGCCAAACTCTCACATTTACATATTGTTAACTGCTCTCTCTTTTCCTGTTAAACAGGAGGAAAAACTCATTAGATACGAGGCAGCTGTCTTATTAATGGAGGGGTGGGCTAAAATGTGAGGAACGCTTCTTTTTCAGCACATACTTCTGAACAGCTTGTTCTTCCGGACAAGGACAACTTGCGGAGTACCAAGGTTTGTCCGTTACTTGAGAGGCTTCTGCTTTATTTCGTTTATCCAATCTTGTGTTTTCCTTGTCAAATATTACCAAAAAAGAAGAGCTTCTCTTTACTTTCATTGCAACCAAATCCCCGTCAGGCCAGAGGGACCGTATGAAATAGCGTAGTTGACAATTGCCATGCGTACACATCAAGAGAACAAATCTCCACTGTGACGTTCCTTGATGAGTAAAACTTTGTTACAAACCATGAATGAGTTACGGAAAAGAAAGCTGGAAGAAATCATACTGATTAGCCGAAGGGCTTGGATAAAATGACGTTTCTGAGACCTTTGTATTCTAAAGGATTATTTACTGTCTGCTTAGGGAACATCTTAAGTCGTTGTGCAGAGGGAGTCAGTCTCCTGGTTAGCGCAGTGTTTTTGTAAGCTAATGAGGGCAAAGCGTGAGCCATAGGCAATGATGCTGTGATATTAGCTGTGACAAGGAGCTTGATCATAATTATCTTAACGAGGATAGGGTTAATTACAGTGGAAACCTAAAGTTTTTTCAGTTTGAATGAGGCAGCGCTGAATACGTTGTGATGTTTTGTCAGTTTGATGTGACTTTGGAAATTGCAATGGAAATCTCCTGGCAGCACTTGCTCTCCTCTGGGAGCAGCGCGTGAGCCCTGCGATGAGGTAACTGAGATGGTACCTGTGGGTGAGAAGAAGGGGCAGCTCTCGTGTCAGGAGAGCAGGGAAAAGCAACCCGCAGCGCACCTTCGTGATGTTTAGTAGCCTTCAGAAAGCAGGGAAAACAGCTACTTGCCACTGCCCCTTCAGTGCTGGTTGTATTGTGGGGGCAAGGTTGTGTGCGTGTTTTAATATACCAATACAGGGAGACATTTTTTCTGCTGAGAACTCTGAGAAAACAGCGCAGACTTCATTTTAGACTGGTTCTGTTTCTTGGGGATTTCCCTCTTTTTCTACTCGTCTCTTAGGGTGTTTGCGTGCTGCTTGCTGCGCTGTGTGTATGCACGCGCTCCTTCCCTCTTTTGCAATGGGCTCAGGAGGAAGTATTTGGAGTACATTAATACAGCTATCTCACCCTCACTCAAAATAAAAATGCCAATATTTTGTAGCGATTCCTATCTCAAAATGCTTTCGATATACTAATTCACGATTGCAATCCTTGCTTATCCCCCATCTGCAGGTGGGAAATTGAGGCATGTAGAAGTTATGGGACTCGCTGAAGTTTCTACCATTTCTACTATTAGTTCTAAAACTAATTGCGTGGATTGTACTTAAAACTTTTAAATTCTAGAGTACAACTGCTGGGCAATATTTCCTTACAGGTTATGATGGTAGAGATTGTTGCCTGGAATTTAGTAGCTAGTGTCACTGAATGATAGCAAACACATTTTTTTCCTTTTTTGTTTCTTTACCAACTGTCTTACCGATTTAGTTTTGGTGCTAGTTTTTTCTTCCGCTTAAGATGAAAAAAATAAGAGTTCTGTGAATAGCAAAATAACATACGGATGTAAATTTATGTTAATGGCTATACCATCTCTCCCTGTGCTGTGGCAACCCCTCCCATCTCCCTGGACTCTGAATTTAGGTGATTAAATCGGCAAGTGCACGCTGCTCTGATGACAGGAAAACAACGATTAGTAAGCAACCCCCTGTGTAACATGGCTCCTTTTTAACTGAGCAGCTAAGAACATTACATGGCAAAAAATTATCAAAACCGGACAGGTGTAAGGAGATTTGCGCAACATTTTCTCTGCCTATCTGTGAAACTAGCACCCTTGTTTTCAGCCCAGGCTGGTGAAAGAAAGGCTGCTTCAATAGGCAACTCCCTCTAGTGTTTCCCAGCCTTTTGTCCTGCTTCATGCCTTGTCATTTTGTTTTATGCCTCCCCTGCAGCAGTTTTGGATGCGCGCTTTCTTCTCCGTGCCAGTTGCCAACCATTTGCTGATTCTCATGATAAGAGTATTATATTTGCATAACATAACTCAGGAACAATGTGTGTTTTGATGCTGACACTGACCAGAACCTCAGCAATGTTTTTTCACAAAGGGCCCATTAACATCCCATAAGGCTCTGTGGTGTTGACAAGGAGGTGGCCTTCTATGAACTCCTTTCGCAAGTCGGAGCCTTACGTTGAAATGTGAGGTTTGGAAATAATCCACTATTTATATAATAAAGAGTATTTAAGGGGAATTTGCTAAACTAGGTTTGTCAAATAAACTGAAATGAGAACTCGTAACAGCTTGATAAACTCACTGCTACTTCCTCTGGGTTATTTTGCCTTTTAAAGGTACTTTGGGGGAAAGCGCTGGCTGAAACGTTTGCTGATCTCTCTTCTGATTTTGACTTTGGCAACACCAAGTCTGTTGTGATCCTTTGCTGAAATAGCTAGCTTAATACAGCTCTTAATGGGGTACGGTTTACGTATGCTGAATCGAGCTTTTCCAAAACGACTTGTTAAAGGCGAATGTAAAAAGTGCGACTGTTTCTGTGGCGATTGTTTCAGTGTGATGTTTATAATAGAGGCTTCTCTTCTCCCAGCTTCTGAGGCTGTAGTCTCAAGGCATTCTAACGATGTAGATACGCCATAGGGTGTAGGCATGGCAAATTTTCTTTGGGTCTGGCTGCCCAGCATCAAAACGGCAGCAGTAATAGTTGCCCCTCCCTTGCAGAACGCCAAGTTGACGGAGTGTGAGCACTTTGGGGTCCTTGGCCTGAAATACACCATCTCAGTGTTGTGCAAATGTTACTTGAATATTCATAGTTTAGTGTACAGTACCCAGTGTAAAGGTCAGGGACTTGTTTTCGTTTTGGTTGTTTGAACCCTCTAACTGTGATTTATAAGTGCTCAGTAAGTTCTGTTTACAAAAGCAGTATGTTGTTTTTGTTGGACAGATGGATGTTAAATTGTCTCATTTGAAACCCGTATACTTTCTAATAATATTTGCATTTTCCTCCAGTAGTGGTGCCTGTAGAACTCTCTTACAGGGACCTGGGCTGTATTTTGATCTTTGCCAAAAACTGGGGGGAGGGTGAGGAAATCCCCTCGGTATAAATGTCGTTGGAAGCCAAATAAATGGTATAGCCTGCATCTCCCTGATTCATCACATTTTCTAAAACAGCCAGGAGATACAGTGATGATCTTCCCACTGGTAGGCACAGTAGATCAGCTGTCAGGTCATGCAATCTCAGCATATCTTTAGGTGTCTGGTAGGTGAATGAGCTGTGAATGCGTGTCTGTGCGTATGCTCCGTATACCATGTGTCTTAGTTGATTAATGTGTGGGGCTTTTTTTTCCTGTTGGAATGTGCAAGCGTTAAGAGTCAAGTTTGGAACAGATGCCTTAACAAGGAACCAGCGTGTTCTTTTTAGGGTGTTTTTTTTTTTTTTCCTGTAGTTTGCTATCAGAGGAATGAATACCTCCAGAAGCTTGTTTATTTACAAGCCGTCATCTGCACTTCCCTGTTGTGAAATGTTCCTTTTTAAAGGTGCTCTCTGCAATCTGACCTGTGGCTTGACAGTGGGACAGTGAGTTCTGAAAAGAAAGCAACTGCCTGTTCTGTCTGGAGCAATTCTGCATTTTATTTTGTAGAGAACATTTTATTTTGTTTGCAGGGACTGAAGAAGCAAATGAAGTGGTTAATAAAAAGGAAAAAAAAGAAAATCCCTTCCCCATTTCCTATTATTGCATGTAAGGTAACTGCTAAGAAATGATACTTGAAGTTATATTTATTATTGTTAGCGGGGTATGATATTTCTTGGCAGAAATGATGGATGACAACTTAAATTTGTGTCCAGGGAATGAAGGTGAACTGTGACAGAGTTATTTATCTTGGGAATGGAGGTTAGGGTCAGGCGAGGCTGGGTGCCTGAAGGCACAAGACATTGACAAATTCATCCTGCAGGCCCTATATCTGAAGCCTTTTGTTTTGGATCCTGGCTACTCACTAAGTGACCCCCATCCTTCATCCTGCCAGCCTGTGAAGGATGTGTTGCAGTGCCAGCACTCCCCTTGCTGCTAGTGCTTGTCATTCACTCTTCTGACAGGCCCAAACCAAAACTATTCCCACTCCTGAAAGGGAAGGTTAAAATATTTATTTCGGCTCATAATGGCCTCCCTGATTTAGTGGAGTATCATTTTTCCTGTTGCCTTTGTCGTCTGCAGGTCACTGGAAGGACTGAAAACATTCAGTTACTTGGAAGAGCTGATCTTGGACAACAATCTACTCGGAAATGACCTTCTGCTACCCAGGTTACCCTGCCTCCATACCTTAACGCTCAACAAGAACCAAATATCCTTTCAAAGAAACACCTGCAAAATGTCAAATGAGTTTTATGCGTCAGCCAAATTAAAGTCTGTGAAATATAGCTCGTGTGCAGACAAAGCATTCTCTCGTGTGGCACCTGGAATACTTCAGAATAATTTATTATAGGTCATTCATAAATGAAATGCGCTGTTATATCTTCCCGTTGTTCCATTTTAGCGAGGGATCTAAGTGACGGCTCTGGAGAAATCCTGCTGCGGGATGAAGCGGCGCCGGAAGGTTCTGGCGTGCGCAGGCTGCGGGGTTCTGGGGCAGGCTGACCTCTAGTGGAGCCGCGTGCACAGCGCTCGCCGCCCAGGAGGGAGACAAAATAGGGGAAAAAATCCCCCCAAAACATAATACCTTGCTCCGGTTTAACGAAGCTTGTAATACGTACAGCTTCGTAGCTGCTGTGCCGCCGTGGCTAGAAGAGCAAGTCGCTGTGTTCTCGGTGTTCCCACTCTGCGTAAATGCTTACAAAACGCTGTCCAAACCAAGGACGTTAACACACTGAAGTATTTAGATGGGTGGTTAAGTCTATTCATAACCAGTCAGTCGCTTCTCTGTATGCCTGAAGTTAGCGCCTGCTTAAGTTTATTCAGAAAAAATATTTCGGCGTTTGCCTGAGAATCACAGCCCCTAGTCTGTAGGCTTATAGATAATGGTCTGTAAAAGCTAATTATCTACAAGGGCTGGGCACGGGCTTGATTATTAAATAAATTTCCCATACTTTGACCCTCCTGGAGATTTGAAGACGCTTAACATACAGTCGTACAAAAGTGGAGGGCGATCGAATAGTGGCCAAAAGGCTAGCTGAGGCCTGCGGAGTCTTAGAGCGCAGACCACAAAAGCCCCCTCCTTGTAATTGCAGCATGAGGACAAGGCTGCTCATCTGCAGGCTTTTATTACAGACAATGTAAACAGAGGGCAATTTACCTCCTACTAAAGCAAAATCCTCCTACTGAGGAGAAGAAAAACAACTGCACATTCTACGGTTTCTGTGCTTATTTTTGACTCTATAAATAAACAAAAATCAGCAGAGTAACTTTTATTCTTGGGGCCCTGGAAATTTGCCAAATGTCTCCTTAGCAGCAACAATTGTTACTGTCCTAGGTATTTGGCTAGATTTCTGCTTAATGCCAGGATTCTGTGGGTTGGATGTGAGTAACTGGTTTTATCGTTTGCTGCCACGGTAAAATCTGAACCGGGCATGCTTTGATGAAGAATGTACCAGAACATTTTTGCTGACTCTATGGGTGATGGTAGGTCTGGTGAAGCGTATCTCCTTCTACTAAACCCGAAATGTAAATTTGGCCGTAATAGCTATGAGCACGTGAGTATGGTTGTTCTTTGGGGGGAGGGGGGTGTCAAGGAGGAGCTTTGCGCTTACCGAAAGGAGAATGGGTGTGTTGGATGGGAACTCGGGGAACAAAGTCAGAGGGAAGAAGTTTATCCTGGCAGTAGTATTCTTTAAAGAGTTTCTGCTGGTCTCACAGACGTACTTAAAATACTGTTGTCAAGTTAGCTCTCAAAGTCAATGATAATGTGATAAGAAGGATTTGATTTATCTCAGGATTTTTATAGTTTAGTCTTAAAACTATGAAGTTAGAGCTTTGAGAGTATTGAGCTACCTAGGCTATAGAACCAATGTATACATTTTGTAGTGTGCTGCCAATAATTCAATAGAGGAGTTGCAGAAATGCTTGTAAAATGCCTAACATGTACAAACTGTCCAGAGAAGAAGAAATAGCCGCTGTTCGTGATTAACATTTTGAGCCCTAGGGAGTAGTGACCTCTTGCAGGGAACATACAGCAGTCTGCAGAAGCATGGAGACCTTCCAAATTCCTCTCTTCAATGTGGATACCATATTAGAAAAATGTCTCTTTTGAATCACTTTTTTAAATTAATAGTTTCCCTGTAGAATTTTTTAAAAAATGTTCAAATGTACATGTAATAGAATAATGGAATACATTACAGGAATGATTGCTTAGTATAGGACAGTAGCGCTACAGAAAGGGCTCAAGCGAGCAAAGAATACTGGTCTGAAACAAAACTTCAGGTGGTGGAATATTACCATATATGCATACATAGATACACATCAAGAGAGAGGGAGAGATGAAAACAAACAAAAAGCCAAACCGACCCCTGTGAAAACTGGAATAATGCTTAAACTTTAAAACTCACACGAGAGATCTCCTGGGTATCTCTTAATATTACTGTATTCTTTGTTATTTCTCACCTTTTGTTTGAGCTTCATTTTGATCCTGACCCTATTTTGATAGTTCTGATAAGAGCTTTTTAGTCCTTTTATGCGGTTCACTTCTTGTGTGGTGTTGTGTGTGTAAATAACGTTTGGCCCTTCCTAACGTGATGTCTGGGTACACTGTACAAATATGAAAGCTTGTCTCTAAATCAGGTGAATGCTTAGATGAATCATCTAATGTTTTTTTTCTTCAAATAGTGGCTGCGTATTCCAGTTACAGTTAGGCCACTGCCAGTTTTTCCACTGGAAGTGGAAGAAGCAAATTTAAATATTGCTATTTTAAAAACAATTTCCTAGTGTTATACCTCAACTTTTCTGTGATGTGTAATCTGTTAAAAATATTTTAAAATGCAGTCTATATAGCTGAAATCAGTAAAGGATAGTTATCAACATTTTGCAGTATTGGATTACATGTCTCTAACAAGGTTTTTTCATGTGTGTGGTATGTTAATTTTTACAAAATTCTGATTTATTTTGGGAAACATATCATCTTACTTTGTCTATCAGACACAACAGAAGGCAGAAAGCAGTGCAGACTAAGATGGATGGCTGGTAGGTAGGAAGATGCTTTTGGAGGAGGACTCATGACTGCAGTCACCTACACTTATAATGGGAAGCCTCATTTTTCCTTTTAAGTGTGTTCACTACATACTAAGAATCAGTCAGGAAATTTCTAAATAGATTTATTCCTCTGTCCGTGTCATAGCAATGTGAGGTTTCATGGCTTTTTGCCGTGCTAATCATGGCTGGTGTTACAGTGGGACTGTATAGTATAGACATTCTAATTTCCTTCACGTTTCAATCTTTTTAGTATTTGTTAAAACTACTCGAAAGGGCAGCAGTAATAGTTTGTCAAATACCTGTATGCTGAAAATTAGATGGTGTTCACTGCCACACTTCAAAATAGACGAGTCTGATAATGATCCAGATCTGTGATCCTCTGAAGTTAAAACCCTGTTTCATTACTTAGTCCAGTGAGATGGTCACCCATTTAACGTATGTTCTATATACTTTCGAGGAGCTGGTAGTAAATTGTTTCAGATTAGAGGTGTAGAATGCAGACATTGAACTTAGGTCTAGGTTTTGAGTGGTTTAGAGGAAATCCAAAATATTTCACACCATGGAGTGAGAAATCTAGAGGTGGGCAGAATGCCCACAGTGGTGTATGCATTACATATAGTAAAAAGAGTTATCAGTGTGGTTCAGATCTAACGGTTATACGTTCCTGAGTCTTTGAAAACAACATGGATTGAGTAGCTCAACTGAAGAATGTACTGATAAGTACTTCTGGTGTAATATGTCTTCACAAAGATCCCATCATAATGCCTAATAGTCAGGGATTTGTTTAACCCCAAAACTGTGGACTGTAATTTATTTTGCCTTTGTGCTTGTTCCCACATTGTCCTGAAGTGCTTGAAGACCTAGAAGTCCCAGTCTGACCAGAATGTCATTATGTCAAGTGCTGAGGACTTGATGTTTAGATGGAGTGAATACGTTAAGGACATAAATTGTCTCCTGTCAGGCACAGATCCCTATCTCCACTAAACAAAGATCTAAGCTGAAATGGTACAGCAGTCTTCCTGCATACACTTCTGAGCTCTCCATGCCACAATTGTGGATTTGGCTAAATCTGAGTGTGGCTTGTTAGAGAACTGCAGTACCTGATGAGCCAAAAGACTTTTGTCTAGAATAAAGGGTACCTGAAGTAAAAATTAATTAACATGAATGCCTAATGGAGAAACGTCTATGGAAGAGGGAGGTAGTCTTCAGTATGGGCGATTCTTTATCCTGTTCTACAGCAGTGCTTGGACCAGTTCACCTGTAGATGTCAGAACTTTAAAAATATGGCGAGCTGCATCTTTATTCTTGATTGTCTTTGTGTTGCCTTGGGAACCTTGAGCACCATTTGGCCAGAATACTGTTAAAAAAAAAAAATCCACACAAACAACAAACTTTGGAAGAAAGAACATGTGGTTTCAGAATGGACCTCTCTAGAGACGCAGAAACTTGGTTTGATTGCAGGAATAGAAACATTCCTCCTTTTTCTCACGTTTGTATGCCCAACAATATTAAAACCTGGTCTTCAAATCAGCAGCCTTGGAACCGTGGGCTTCCTGAAATACCCTGAAACATATTGGCAACTCCAGCTACGCAGAGGAAACTAATGCTGGTCCAGTGGGCAGAATGGGATTTTTTTCTCAAGTATTCAATATGCAGGAAACTCTCTGTGAGATGCATGGACTTAGTTAATTACCACCTGTGCCACACCTTTTCTTTCTTGAGCAAGATGGTTTTAAAGTCAGTGAAGGAGGCCTTATCTCAAGGCCCGAACTCCCTACCAGATAGGGTTCAGGCCAGAACATGGCATACAAATGACAGCACATGACTTCCCATTGCATATAGAGCAGGGGAAGATGTATAGTTGCATATTGCAAGCTATTTCTGTGGTTATCCAGCCTTGAAGACCTAGCACGTTCTAATGGAAAAGCGTTCAGGTGGCAAAGATCTTTTCACACTGCATTCGGAGGAGAATTGGTAACTTCTGCTTCAAGGCTATTTGCCTGTGGAGTAACTTGTGATTGCTACATTGTGTTTGTGATAAATTTAATTGAAGCAAATGTTTCGAATTGGAATAAATGTAGGTACCTTGCTCATTTATGACTCTGGTAGGAGTGCTGTCCAGGTGGTTTAATGTTAGGTTGGTTGCAGCACCTGCAGGACAGA